TAATATTAGATGCCACGATAAATAATTTTTACCGGTAAAAATTTTTAATAACTATTTTTACTGTTACCAAAAATTATAACAGTTAAAAATTATTTTTGTTGCAGTGTGCATATATATTTTTATACTAAAAAAACTTTTAAAAGGTGACCAAACAAGAAAATTTTTTAAAAGGTGACCGAACAAACTTTTATACTAGTTTTGTTTGGTCCTGATTATACCTAACAAATTACAGTAGTGATGAAAAAATAAGTGTGTATTTTATAAGTCATTTAGTTCACTAATTTATTATTAAATAAATATATTAACGCTTTCATCTCGACCATCCAAATGCACATATACTATACGTATCGCCATTTTAAATTATTACCGTTTAGGGTAACAGATTACAGATACATCTTAAAAAGAACATATTAATTATATTATTACTAATAAAACAATCCCATTTAACCTAAATATTCTTAATAAAAGAGTTGTCGTTGTAAATTAATTATTTAAGTATGAAACATCAATAAGGATTTTTAGAAAAATAATTAATATTCTTAAAATAACAAATATTCTAAATTAAATTAAACTTGTTAAAGAGACATAGATTTGAAATAAAAAGAACATCACATTTGGTCAACATTTTCAAAGAATATTATTTAGAGAAAATTGCTATTATATCTTAACTACAACCACCTATATTTAAATCAACTACATGCGTTTTTTTAATACTGTTGCAGTTTTTTATGTACCAAAATCTAGAACAATATTTAAAAACAGTTGTGGTTAAGTTTTGGCAATATTTGTGTAAGCCGAAGCAAATTATGGAAATTCAAAAAGTACTGTAGTCCTTAAACAGTAAAATAAGGAGGATATAATTCATAGCATTTAGACACCACTCCCAAAAAAAATAAATATAAACAGTTTGTATACAAGAGGACAGCACAATCAAGATCTAAATTTTATAAAACTAATTTCTTTCCTATACTTTCATAAGGAGAAGATCACAGTTATAGTTAAAAATTTAATCTTTGACTACTTAAAATTTATTTTTTTCTTCCGTTTCAATCTAAGATTATATATTAGATCGATATCATTGATAAAATCGACTGTTAGGGAAAAGAATAACACCAAAATATGATTTAGTATAACATTATGCATAAAATAAAATAAAAATATTGAGGACTAAATTAAAGTTTCGCTAGGACTTTGGGGTCGAAAATAAAACTTAAGTCTACTAATCAAACGAATGCAATATATTGTACAACATATAAAGTTTGTATTTCGCATGTACATTTTTACATCACAAAACCAAGCTATATATCAAATAATTATGATTAATAAATACTTAAATAAAATTAAAACCCATTTAATTTTTTTTATATATCACAATTACATAATTTATCATGAGAGAAATGCTAAATAGTTTAAATTTATTTACACAAATTCAACAAATCTAACGTGTTTTTATTTAATTGGTTTAAATGATAAAATAGAGAAAATAACACTAGAGGATTTGACAGAAATCAAAGAATAGTGGTAATATATCTGTTTGATCACTTTTCATGTTTTGTATTTTATACTTAGTAGCAAATTTCTTATCATAATTTTATTTTTAATTTATATTTGTCTCCAAATATATTCACTTCCATAAATATCTACAAAACGTTTTTTATATATCAGAACAGCCAAACAGAAAACTTTTAATGCAGCCTGATACTAGAATTGAGAAGTAAGCAAGGCCTCGAGCAATATGTCTACATGGCTTGCCACAGTAAACCCACTTCAAAGCAAACTAATATAAAGACATTATTGCTTTAACAAATTCCTTCCACCTTTATCTTTTTCTTAATCAAACTTAGGAAACATCTCGACAAATTAACGTAGGGAATCTGTACGGAATGATCTCCATTTAATTAGTGCTAGTTACGAATCCCAATTGAACCACTCTTCTCAATTTTAGTATCTCTAAGCTGATTGAATTCATATATCCCTTTGGTATTTAGGCAACTCTTCAATCATTTTCAATTTTCATGTTTTGTCCACACACTTTCAAAGTATCTTTATCCACTCAAATTTAATAAAGAATTTCAGTAACTAGTTTCTTAAGGATACTGATTAAAAAGTTAATAATTAAAATAAGAATTATGTTAAAAATATATTGAAAATTATAAGAAGAATGTACTATCATGATTTTTAATAAAATATTTTCTTAACTAGTATCGTAATAGCATTTATGTTAAAAAAAAATGATTATAATCAAGGGGAATTGCAAATATGTCTAATAAAAAATTTAAATGTTGTCACCAATGACATTTTAAAATTGAATTTTCTGTTTCTCTTTCACTTTCTTTCTTTTTCTCTTCTAATTTTTAACCATTCATCCCCTCACTTTGCTTTTACTAATTAATGGTCCACTATTTTTTTCGACCGGTTCTCTTTCCTTGATACACGTTAGATATGTATCATATATTAATCTAGTGGTAACTATAATCTCTAGAAAATCTGATAACAGACTCGTGTTACTCATGCATGTATGCTTCTACTTAGCATCTGGAAAATTACTAAATTCAGAAAGAAAGTACTACATTCTTTAAACAATAATCAATACTATTCAAAAGGTAATTAGTAAAATAATAGAAATTTGAGTGTCATAAGTACATTTTTTTATTAAATAAGACTTTGCTTGATTTAGATTTTGATAAAATTGATCAGAAAATGAAAATCGAGGAATGGGTCATTTTATGTGAATAGCAAAGTATAATTATTTTTAAAGTATAAATGATTTTGAAAATTTATAAATGTTAGATTGAATTTTATTCAATGTAAAACTTATTCTTTTATATCAAATAATCAATTTTACTCAGCAAAATTAATTTTTGAAAAAAAATGAAAAACTTAGTTACTATGCAACATGAGTTTTGTGACAGAAAACGTGATTCCAAATGCAAAACATACTGGCACTAAAATGGTATGAATTTTTCTTGCATTATATGTTCATAAAACTGATATTTGGCGCTGACTCATTTGTTAGGGTTATTATATAATCATGGACCACAGTCACCTAAGAAATCCCTACCCAAGATAAAACCCGCTTGGATCTATACTTAGAGGTACAGAGATATACACACGACATAGTACCACAATCCATCAATGGGGGTGCTCTTCATTACTTATCACAATAAGACTGTTAACTTTATGAGTATCAAGACTTGTATACTCTTTTTTCTACTATGATTTAAATAGCTATTGCGAAAATCTGAAAAAAAAAATATTAACTTGGTCTTTCTTTTTTTGATAACCTAAGAAAATGCCATTGAATTCGGAGGACAAGAAGTACTCGGGTTCAGTACAATATGGCCAACCTTACAATCACATCAAAGTAACATCTATACATTTGACTACTTTTTCCTAGTCTTTTTATCTCTAAATTTAACACATGTTTAAGAATTGATTAAAAGCAACAAATTTATGTACAAAAATGTATGAGCACAAACAAACAACCATAACAAACAAGCACATATATTCGAAACTCACTTTTCTTTACTATTTAAATCACTCCAGCTAATTCAAAGTTTAAACCATGATCATGTAATTTAGAAAACCAACCGGATCACTCTTATGATCATGTAATTTAGAAAACCAATCGGATCACTCTTAGGGGTGGATATATAAATTGCCTACCGAGAGCAGTCTCTTCACTGATTCATTCCCTATGAAGTAGGAGAAGTAAACAGAAACCCAAGAGTGAGAGAGAGAGAGTTTCATGAGGTGCACAAACTCCAAAGAAACACATAGCTTATGATGCTACCAATTGCATGACAGTTCGAAGCATTGTCCTCCTTACTCTCTACAGTTTACATATTTATGAATGAACACAACACGAAATCCCCGAACTCAACTCTTGACAGGGCAAATAAAGCCACCAGAATGGCCCCCCCCTGGAATCTGAAACCCCAAACACAAAAAGAAAGAAAAATAAAATAAAATGCATAACATTGCTAGAAATTAACCAGTGGATGAACAAGTGATATACAGTTGCAAAACACTACTACAAGCAATAATCAATAGGGGTAAAAAAACATCCTCAAGTAATTGCATTTTACCGCATCCAAAGAAGACATGGAACATATGATCTGCAAATCCATTACTCGTCATAAATGACCCACCTTCAAGTACATAAAATATTTATTACAAATTGGACGGTGAATAGGTCACACAATAACCCTCTCACTTCTTCATATCCACCACTTAAACTTACTCTATCACTGCTACTTCTACCAGTAACACTGCAGTTTCGATCCATTGCACATTTTTTTGAATCTACTTTCACAGTACAGGGCCAATCCTATCTTGCAACAACAACCCCTCAACGTTTCAAATCGCCGGTCCCAACCGCAACCGTCACTGCAATAATAAAGTTCTGATGACGATTTCTCCAACAGAATTAGCCACATTTTTCCTTGTCAACTTCTCAGTGGTTTGAAGCCTCCATCACTATAACCGCATCTGCAATTTAAAACCTTGAATAATCTCACGTCAAATCACAACTTCTGCATAGTAAGGAAATACATATATGAAAGTAAGAAAATAAAGAAAACAACACACATATTATTTAGGGTATGTATGCTATGACATGTATAACACGATAATTAGCACAAGATGAAAGAAAATATAGAGGGAAAAAAAGGAAAATAATGTATTTGTTTAATTAAACAAAAATAGAGAATTTTTTTAAAATAAAAAATTATTTTTTTTCTGTTATCTCGTTTTAACTTTATTAATTCAAATATATTTATTGTTTCTTTTCTCTCTCTTGAACCAATTTGCAAAACATAGGGCTAATGCTTTAAACTACTAGCATAACCAAATCCAAAGAGAATCTTTATGACTACATATTGTAGGAATATTATATTCATATAAACATATAAAATAACATGTAACTCGATTGAAGGCTACGTAATGATATTATATTATATATAGTGGAGCTTGTTGGGGTTGTAACCTTACTATTTATATTATGCTTGTCGTAGGACTACAGAGTCGTCCCCATTTGAGGGTGGTGGCTGAGGCTGAGGCTGAGGGGGACGCTTGCGCTTCTTTTTCTCGTAGCTGATTCCTCTTGCTTTGGCTTGAGAATCACGCACTTCACGAAGGTAAAGTCTCACAGCTCTAGCACCAAAAGGGTTAGCCTCAGGCTTCCCTCCATTCTCTTCAAAAGCAGCTCTTAAGCGACCTATGAGAGCATCAAGGCTACCCCAAGCTTGGCGAAGAGGGCAAGGACATGGTGCAGGTGGGTTTGGGTGTCCAAAGAAGGGACAAAGATGCGTGTGAACCTTGGTTTTCCCGAACTGGTCGAGGTATCTTAGGAACTCAAGGACATGGGCACCACTACAACGAGAGAGGGAAAGTGGGGGCCTGTGGTTCCTTAGGTACTGACCGAATGTGTTCCAATCTCTGCGCTTTTGGTTCTCGTAGCGACTTGGGGTTGAGGGTGGTGATGATGCGGATGATGATGATGATGCTGATGCTGATGACATCATGCTCACGCTCATGGATGTTAAGTTGGAGGTGGTGTTCCCTGATGAGTTTGTGTTTGTCATGATGCGGTTCATGTCTTTGCCCGAAGAGGATTCGAATTCTTGAAAGGAGTTCATGATTTTTTCTTTCTTTTTCTGATCTAGATTGGATCTTCAGTGAGTAAATGAATCTCACTATTTAGGAAAGAACAAGAAAGTTTTGTGAGTTGAGGGCTGGTGAAGAAGGAAGAAGGGAAATTGAGCAAGTGTAGAAGGAAGGGATGATGAAGAGTCTTTAGATCAGATTGTTGGTTCTGAAGGATTTGAGGAAAAGGGTCACACAGAGAGAGAGAGAGAGAGAGAGAAGGAGGGGGGGGGGGGGTTTGGAGTTTGAACGAAGATGGAAGAAGGGTTGGGATAATGTTATAGGTGAGACTTGAGAGAGAATGATGGAAGGTTGGGTAAAAGAATAGTGATGAGACTATAACATGTTTCTCTTTCCTACGAGGCTTCCTTCAATTCCTTTGGTTTTTGTGAACTCCTAGAATACTTGTCAATTGTGTAATTTTAATGCTTTTAGTGATTTCATTATTTGACACTTTTCTTTTTGATCATCGTATTGTACTGTTTCTTATTTATCTCTTTTTTAAAAGAATTATGGAATTTTTTAAAAATAAATTATTCATGTAATATAAATAAAAATTTAAAAATAAAAAATAGCAATTCATACTACATTAAATTTTTATATAATATGATAAATAAAAAGAGATAGTATTATTTATAATTTTGTCAACATTAATCTTTAAGATTAATTTAAAATACTTAAAAAATTTAAAATTTTATTTAAAATATTATTACATCTTTATTTTCAATATAACAAGTATTTAGTTTTTAATAATTTTACTATTTTTTATTACTCAAAATCAATCCTAACGCAACATTAATATTATTTATTATCTCTTTTGAAATACTAATGCTCCAAGACATATCTATCAATTTTTTTCTTTTGTTATAACAATACTATTCATTCATTCTAAATTAATTATTTCAATATTTTTTAATCATATTTTTATTTTTAATTTTTCCCTTCCTTTCACTTCTTACACCTAAGAAAATATACAATGCTCTTTATCGTTTTTGTTAACCCTGTTTTTCTGCAAACATTTTTAGGGAATTGGCAGAGTTTTTTCCGGAAAAAAGGAAGCAACGGGGTTCCTATGAGGCTATCCAGTGCCAAGCAAAAGGAGAAAAGAGAAGGGTGTAATGGAGAAACAAGGGTGGTGTGTTTTGGCCTTTAGGGCTTTTGTGGAAATGAAAATAGGTTGATGGTGACAGTGAAAGGTGACTGATACAGACAGCATAAAGCTAAGAGGGTTTGAAAAAAAAAAAAAAAAAAGGAATAACATGATTTTGTTGCTTCTTCCTTTTGGGATGATTGACAACACCTTTTATGGAATGACCTATTTACCCTTTCCTGTCTGATATGACTAACTTTACTTCATCAATGGGATTATCACCATTCACAACAAGTCAGGGTTGAACATACATGCACAGTGTACGGGGCTCGCCAAATGCACCATCGTGCTGTGCTTGCTTTTTTAACTAGTGCTAATCCCCAGAGATCTGCGTTGCAGATTATAATCATTTCGTTTCAATCAAGAAATCATTGACGCAAAGGCTTCATTAATTTAACCACCAAATTATATTCTCTTTTATTAAGGTTATAGAGGATGTCATTTCACGGATACCCTATCAAGGTAGCATGATCTAAGCAATTTTGGGGTTCAACTTTTATATTTTTTGTAGTTTTTTTTATCTCTCTGATCTCTATACCTATTATAAAATATGAAGGGTCAAATAATAATTTTTTTAATGTTTGTATGTTGCTCAGGTTTAATAGAATTAATTTTAATAATTTTAATTTTTAATAAATTATGATCCATTAACACTTCTAAAATGTAGAGAAAAAATAATAATGGAAAATGAATGTAAGTTAGTGTGAATGTAAAAATATAAAAATTATTATTAAAGCATGTGTTTAATTTAAATTTAAATACAAATATTTGTTGAAATATGTGTTATATCATGTAAAATTATTTTTACTAATACACCAGTTTTTTCAATCGTAATATATGTTATATAAATACAATGTAATGATAGAGAATATATGTGTTACTAATACACATATCATGCACATTTTATTGAAATATGTGTTACTAATACACCTTTTAAGTAGTAATACACTACATATGCATTCTAAAAGGTGCTAAAAGAATAGCCCAACCAATTATAAAATAGACCAAATTTCAAAACACCCCACAATTGTGGAAAATGTTTTCAATAGATTCTTGTGTTTTTTAATTTTAATTTTTGGTCTTGCCGTAGATTCTTTGTTGAATGACGTATCTGTGGAGAAGTTGTTGCTGATCGATAGTTATATTTCCCTTGGCAAGACTAAGCTTACAAGGAAGTCCATCCATAGGGTTGATTATCATGGGTCATATATACCCGATTAAATTGATCTAAACTAAATTAAAATTAAAGGATTAGTTTGGATAATCATATATAATCAGTTTTGAAAACAATATTCATGATCATTTTTGGATTGAATATCGAATTTTTTATTTCGAAACTCAACAAATCCGAATTGAATATATATATATATATATATATATATATATATATAATTTTAATTTTAATATGTAAATGTGTTTGAAATGCTATTATATTTTTAATATATATATAATTTTAATTTTAATATGTAAATGTGTTTGAAATGCTATTATATTTTTAAATTTGATTTTTTTTATGAATGATTTGCTATTTGAGTATAAATCAAAATTTTTCATGTGAAAATTGATTTTTTTAATTTAATTTGATAATTATTAGATTTTATATATCATATTTTTTTAAAATATAAATTTTTTTACTCAATTTAAACTAACCTATTCATAATTAAGTTTGGCCAGTTTGAATCGCATGCCAAAAGAATAAATTATTAACCAACATGTAATGTTTTATTTAGTTCATTTTTTAATTAAATATGACAAATGATAGGAATATATTTTTATATATGGAATTTAAAAAATATATATACCAAAATATAATATTTTTAAACAAATTACAAAAATATAAGATTTAAAAATAGCTAGAGACGATTTTTGGTGTAAGTACAATAGAATAACGAAAAGTCGCTAAGTTTTCAAAATTTCCACGTACAATTTTTTTAAAAAATATAAAAAAATAAAAATTGTAACTAGCAATTTTTTAAAATAATAAAATATTTTAAAAATAAAAAATTTCTCATGACAATTTTTTATAAAACTTTTAGTCAAAAATTGCCACTAAATGATTTTTGAAAAAATTTTATATTTTTGTAATTTTTTTAAAAACACTATATTTTAGTAATTCTTTTATTTTTTTGTCATATAAAAAATATCTCAAATGATAATCCTTGTTATCTATCACAATTTACTAAATGAATGTAACGACTACTAAAAAAATTGTCATTAAACTAGAATTATAAATAAAAAAAATTAAAACATATATAAAATTTTAATATTTGAGCAATATTCAAATTTAAAAGGATAGTTATAAGTTAATTTAATAAAATAAACTCTTGCACTCTCAGGTCTTATGTTTATCCATTTTGAATAATAGATTTTAGAGGAACGTGATTAATTGAAGTACAAGTTTTAGTAAACAAAATTTGCTCCTATTTAGATATGCTCTCTATCTGCAAAATATTAATTTCAACTCATTTATCTTGCCAAAATAGTAAAATGACTATCAAATTGAAACATTGTACTTATAATCTTACAAATATCTCTTCAGAAACTTTGTTCCATATTTAACTTGAACTAATGATGAAGTTTTTATATTTCACATGAAATATTTTAACTCATAATCTTTCAATCTTTTATAATTTTATTTTTAATTAACAAAACTAAAGAGCTACAAATTTTTTATTCCAAGTCTCTATTTCAATCTTATGTTAACATATTCCATCCACTATTACATTTTGAAATGAATTTCTTTTAAAACAAATTAAGTAATTTAGAAGAGTAAAATGATGATAATAATTTTACCTCTAAAAGACACGTGCCTAGCTAGTCTTTCAAGATGGTATTTTTCTTTGCATTTTATCATTGTTTCAAAGCTTCTTGAATTTGTTCCAACATGATGATCAAAAGAGTTAAATAGTACTCCTTTAAACTTGCATTTTCTTTAATTAGTTTAGATAACTATTGCATTTTGTATTTTATATAATGAAAAATTAAAAAACAATGTGAAAATAATTTGAAGATCAAAAGAGAGGAAATTTGACCCTTATAAAAGTTTATTAGGTGTCAATCAAGTTATCCTTAGGTGAGGACGCCCATGAAATAATTAAATCATAATTCAAGTCCAAAAAGTTTAACTAGTAACCTATTGAAGCTTCCACAAATTGTAGATTGTGCCACCAAATTACAATTCAAGATTTTTAACTTTAGAGAGGTTTACCACTTGCTTGGAAAGCCTTCATAACTGTGGATCAACTATCCATTATAGAACAAATTTCATGTTTTCATTAGTTTATAAGTGTTTTAACACTCTAAGTATAAATAAAAATGTTATGGCAAAAAATAAGGGTTCTACCTTAAACAATCTTAGAGGCTTACATGTTAAAGTAAAATTAAACAAGTAACTTATAAAGATTAAAATGATATCAAAACCTCAATATGCATGAATTGGTTTATTTTCTTGGTGTTATCTTTTTTTATTCTTGTTCTTTTTAATTATGTCTAGATATGTTCTCTTAGTTTGTCACTTGCTGATGACTAAGTAATTTTCTTATTACTTGTAAATGTGTTAGCTTTTTTGTTGATATGATTTTATATGTCAATGGAAGGACTAAAAGGTGAACTTTATAATTGAAAATCCCATAATTAAACATGAGATTATAAATCATAAATTGTTTCATGAGAAATTATCAAATTACTATAGAATTTAATAAGTTTAATTGTATATAATTACCACAAAAGTATTAGTTCAACTAAATACAATATTGTGTTACGAAAGAAAATAATAGT